TTTACATCAAATTTTAATAATATATTGTGTGTGAGTGCTAAATAAACCACTCATCCATGTACAACAAAATTGACGATGAGGGAAAGAAGATCTTTTTGCGAGACATTCTATAACATATCTTAGAAGATAACTAAGGTGTCGCCACACAATATTGGCGGAGTCTCTGATGCTTTCTCGTATTTTCAGAAAATGTCTTATTTATACTTCTTTCCCCCACAGGAATTAAGGCTAGGTAGCAGAAATATACCTTTTAACAACTACTGTATGTAACACATCAAATGCACTGGGGAAGGTGCACAAAAGTTTAAACTAAAGCAAGGTCAATTACGTTGCTTGCCTGTTCAAAAACATCCAGGTTCCTGCCCCCCTCACTCTTCTGCATAAGGTCTGTTTTGCTAACATAAGGTCTGTTTTGCTAAAACTAAGCTTTCCCACTAATAATTCCTACAAATCTTTATTCATCCAGTTTATACCATTATTCTCTAAGCACACCCTGAACTTGACCCTCTTATTTTTTTGCGTGATTTAGCTATCTTGTAATGGATGTGGTGGGGATGCCCATATTACCCTTGGTGAAAAACTGAAGAAATTATTTACCAGCTGTGAGACAGCTGCCAGAAAACAGACCTCAGTTCCCTGCCCCTTTAGAATGTCCTTCTCTGAAAAATACCACCTTGCTTTTTCCTAGGAAAATCTGCAGCCAATGTGTAGAAAACACAGAGATATAAAACTCTCAACTCAGGACAACCTGGGAGTTCATTACAGGTAGAAGGCTCCAGTGGAGGGACTGGGGATTCCAGTGAGACTGCATCACATCTCAACTTCCCCTCTGCTCAGTCAGCCCTGCTTCCTTTCCTTCTCTTCAGGTGCCGTTGATCCCAAGCACTCTCCCTAATAAAACTCCTGCCCACTAATCTCCATGGGGGTGTTTGCTTCCTGGGGAGCCCAACTTGGGAAACTATCCCTATCTTCTTTCAAGAGGTTTCAGTTTTCATACTAATTCCTTCCCAATGCTTTTCAGAGTATTAGAACAATTAACAGTCCCATTAAAAATTATAGTATATGTACACATATTACTTAGCTATTAATAATTTGTAGTGAACAGTGTAGCAGAGTGATATAGTTTGCATTGTATTATTACTTTATTCGTTTAGTTATAGATATAAGATGAGCTCTGAGAGGTTTTATTCCTAAATCTCTCAGATACCCAGGGAGACTACGTGAGCCCCCAAAAGTTAGATGACTCAATTTCGATGCTCTTTTCATGTACATTTTATATTTAAAAAGTACCAGGAACATGGTAACTGTT